AAAAAAAAGGAAGAGAACAGAACGAGGTCCACAGAGGTGAGCAAAGGCATCTTAGAGTCAGAGTGAAACGGCAGGAAAGGTTCGTGGCCATTCACAGGCAACAATGGGAGCTGGGGGAGGAGAGCAGAGAATTAAGTTAGAGGAGAAGGAATGGGATACACCAAAAGCTTTCTGAGTTCTTACCATGAGTCTAGCTCAATTAAAAACAGCTCAGAAGGCAAGAGCCATGTGAAAACAAGCCAGGCGCAGTGGCTCACGCCTGTACTCCCAGCACTTCAGGACGCTGAGGCAGGTGGATCACTTGAGGTCAGGAGTTCGAGACCAGCCTGGCCAACATGGCAAAACTCCATCTCTACTAAGAACACAAAAATAAGCCAGGCATGGTGGCTCATGCCTGTAATTCCAGCTATTCAGGAGTATGAGGCAGGACAATCTATTGAAGCCAGGAGGTGGAGGTTGCCGTGAGCCGAGATTGAGTCACTGCACTGCAGCCTGGGCGGCACAGCAAGACTTCATCTCAACAACAACAACAAAGGCCATATGAAGAGACTAAATAAACAGCGTGTGAGCTGCATCCTCTGCGTGTATGGTTCTAGATACACCTGCCTATTATCTTCACATCTGTCCTACAAAGCTTCTCACTAGCACTAATTACTACTAGTAAATACGTGTTGATTTGTTTACCTGTGTATCTGTTCTCTCCTCCTCTAAGTCCTGGGAGAACAGGGATCTTGTCTCACTACAGTCAAGTTCTGGAACTACAGATATCAGTGTTCTCTCTCTCAGTTGCTCGGTGTTTGTTCGTTTGTTTTTGAGACAGGGTCTTACTCTGGCACCCAGGCTGAAGTGGCGTGGGATGATCATGGCTCACTGCAGCCCCGGCCTCCTGAGCTCAAGCGATCCTCCTGTTTCAGCCTCCTGAGTAGCTCGAACTACAGGTGCATGCCACCATGCCTGGCTTTTATTTTTATTTTTAGTAGAAATGAGGTCTCACTCTATTGCCCAGACTGCTCTTGAACTCCTGAACACTAGCAACCCTCCCACCTTGGCTTCCCATAGTGCTGGGATTACAGGCATGAGCCACCACACCCAGCCCTCCTTAGTGTTATTAAGCTATAGTACACACACCATAGAATCTGTGAAAGGAAAAAATCTTGGACGCCCAAAATCACAGGCTAAAAGGAAAACTCAGCTGGAAACTGCTTTTGGCAAACCTGCGTCCCGTTCTAATCAAAGTTCTCTCTCTGCTCACTGAGATAAATGCATATCTGATTGCCTCCTTTGGAAAGACTAATCAGAAACAAAATAATGCAACGCTTTGTCTCTCACTTATCTGTGACCCGGA